GATGGTTAAACGAATGAAATTGCATATGGAAATGTTGCAGGTTTTGCTTCAGGTCTGTTGCAGACCATTTGTTCTATGCGATCGCGTATAATGATTTGCGATCGTGTAGACTTAATTGAGGGCTGAGGCAGAGTTGCTCTACGCGATCGCATAGAGTGGGTTACGATCGCATGGGTCAGTGTGAGGTGCTTTCGCGATCGCGTGAGTTCAAGCTGCGATCGCATAGGCCTGGGAGCTAAGGCTTCGCGATCGCGTGGATATTGTTGCGATTGCATAAGGTAATTGAGGGAGTCGCCATTTTGTGCATCGCGATCGCGTGGATTCATCCGCGATCGCAGTGAAAGGGAAATATAGTGCTGGGCAGCATGTTTTTAAACCAGCTTGTTCGCGAAGGTGGGTCTATTTTCAACCATGGCTTCTCGGTTTTAAAGGTTTTTGAAGGAAATTAAAGAGGTTTCAAGGGGAATCGATTGGAGGTAAGATTTTTGAACTTAAAACACGATTATATTGTGAAATTGGTCTAGAAATTCATGGAAATTAAGCCTAAAATTGATGAACTAGGGCTTGAGTTTTTTATATTTCAAATTGGGATTTGATAGGTCATTTGAGCTCGGATTTGGGAGTTCTTAGTATGTATGAACTCGTGGCGAGACGAGGAATCCGGTAATGTGAGTTTTGTAATTTTTCGAGAAGTGGGCCCGGGGCTCGGGTTTTGCTAGTTTCGAGGTTTATGCTATATTTCGATTGTTTTCGATTGGGCATCGTCCCCTTGGCATATTGTGATGTATTCGCTCTGATTTTGGTTAGATTCGACGCGCGTGGAGGCCGATTCGACGGGCAAAGGCGTCGCGAGCTAGAGATTCCACCGGTTCGAGGTGAGTAATGATTGTAAATGATATCCTGAGGGTTTGAAACCCCGGATTTGCACCCATAGTGCTATATTGAGGTGACTTGCACGCCGGATAGAGAGCGTGGGGTAGAGCACCGTTGGGGATTGTGACTTGGTCCGTCCCGGTTGTTGATTTTACCGCGTATTTCGCTATGACGTTGTTTTTCACTATGACTTGGGCTTATTGCCATATTTGGGGCTTATTGCCGACTATTTGAACTCCCTATGAGCTATCATCACCGTTTTTCCTCACTGTTTGAAATATTATTTGAACTCAGTCCATTGTCATTACACTGTTTCATGAACTAGGCTATATTTTTACTCAACCTCGAGTTTTAACTGATAATTGAACTATTGTTTGAGCTGAGCATTATTGTTTCTTTACTGATGCCCGAGGGGCTTATGATTATTTTTGGACTGATTGAGGCCGAGGGCCATATGTGAGGATATGCTGAGTGATGTGAGGAGGCTTTCAGGCCTCGGGTGATATGTGAGGAGGCTTTCAGGCCTCGAGTGTATTGTGAGAAGGCTTTCAGGCCTCATGTTGATATGTACAGGCTTTCAGGCCTTATGATGATATAGCGCTTGGGCTGTAGGAGCCCCTCCGAAGTCTGCACCCCCACAATGAGCGCGGGTACCCATATAGAGTGATTAAATATTGAACAGTGATAACAATGACACTGTTATACGCGTTTGGTCAGGTAACAATGACTGACCAGTCAGGTAACAATGACTGACCAGTGGTAACAATGGCACTGTAATACGCGTTTGGTCAGGTAACAATGGCTGACCAGTCAGGTAACAATGGCTGACTTACTGGTTGAGTATGATTGATTTTTAACTGTTTCAAAAGATTTTCTTACTATATTTCACTGGTTTCTACTGTTTATCTGAAGTTGTACTGTGTGATTGATATTGAGCCCAAGGGGCTGGTACTGTTTTGAGAGGTGCCCGAGGGGCGTACTATCAAGTGCTCATCTTACATATTTATTTGCCCTTTTTACCTGTTATACTGTGGTATTTATGCCCGAAGGCGGATTTTTCTGTGCTTATCAGTACCAACTGTTTTGAAATCGTTTCCGTAATTATTGAAAAGATCATTTTCAAAGGAGATTTGAACTGAGCCAAGATATTTCTAAAGATCTCACAGATTTCACTGTCTTCTCAGAAAACTATACCCGGCTTCTATACAGCATGTTGGTTGCTTTACGTGATTCCTTGCTACTCAGTTATTATTTACTTTTATTACTCACTGAGTTGGAGTACTCACTTTACTCCCTGCACCTCGCGTGCAGATGCAAGTATTGTTCACCCGGTAGTGGGTTTTGAGCTGGTTGAAGATTTTGGCTATCATAGCTGAGCAAGGTGACCGCTAGCGTTCGCGGCACCGGATTTCTTCCTTTGATTCTAAAATTTTAATCTGTGTATTGTTGGCCCTGTAGCTGTATTTAGACTTCTCTAGATGCTCGTGACTTGTGACACCCCGGTCGGGTTGTGTTGGGTTGTAAATACTGGTTAGTATTGTCGTTAAGCTATATTTATCTATTCATTTATGTTTAATAATTGTTAAAGAGACGATTTGGGTTAGTTGGCTGGCCTTGTCTTCACGAGAGGCGCCATCACGACCGGGTTGGAATTTGGGTCGTGACAAGTTGGTATTAGAGCCTAGGTTACTACGTCTCACGAGTCATGAGCAGGTTTAGTAGAGTCTCGCGGATCGGTACGGAGACGTCTGTATTTATCCTCGAGAGGCTGCAGAACCTTTAGGAAAACTTCCCATTCTTGGAATTCTTATCGTGTGTACTTGATTCAGCTTGAGATATAACTCTTGAAATTCCTTCCTCACGTCTGTATGCGCACCTGAGCGCTCCGTATTATATGTTCCTTGATAGTTTATGATTCCCCGATCGAGGGGCGAGAGGTAATCTTTGTGAGTATGTTGGGCCAGTCTGGAGGACTTGAGGCCGGATCTTTGCCTATGGCTTGAGCACTGAGGTGCTGATTGTGTGAGCAAGTGTTTTGAACTTATACGTTCAGTATTGTCCTTATTAGCCGGAATGGCGGTTGGATATCCATGTGATGAGTATGTTAGTACTGCGAGATGCATCTATGTGATCTTGGTAGTGACGAAGGAGTCTGCTGAATAATAGATGAGCTATTAAGTGTTCGATTCCTATTGTGATTTGATGTGTAGTCCGAATTATGGGCGCGTGAAGAACATTTTCGTGTCTCCTAGTTGGGGAGTGAAGTGCATTACGTGTGGCGGTATGAGTTCAGGCTCAGGAAGACTAAATGACTGTGTTATGTGTATGACGGTGGGAGGTGTGCTGAAATACCAAAATTGAGGCGAAGCAGGTGGGTTATCTCCTGCGGAGTGTTCTTGAGTGGTATGATTCTTATGTGTATTGTTAGAAGATCTCATGTGTAATTGAAGAGTACGTGTTGAAATTTGATAAATTCGGGTCGCTCTAGAGGGTGGACTCAACTGATGTGGGGATGAATGTGAGATTTGTAGAGGATTACAGTACTAGATGATCTGTGTTTTCACAAGCTTGTGCATGATTGAGTTTAATCTCGCTATGGCATTGTGGCATCATTAGAGTAAAAGTGTTATGAGTTGTTGAGTGTGTCCTGATATATGGCTTCGAGCCAAGTTGGGAGGCTGCTGTAATTAGCTGATTGCACGGTTATGCGCTANCCAATTTATAGAAGACGCAACACAGGGTTGGTAGTAAAAATAAGAGAACAATACTTGGATAACTCATGGGTTGTTCCATATAATCCTTTTTTGCTAGGCAAATTTGACTGCCATCTGAATGTTGAAATATGCTCTGATATTAAAGTTGTTAAGTATCTTTATAAGTATATATGTAAAGGCCATGACAAGATTGCATTTTCGGTACATAATAACGACACAAACGCAGAAGTAGATGAAATAAAGGAATATCAGTCTGCTAGATGGGTGTCGCCTCCCGAGGCTATGTGGCGCTTGTATGGTTTCTCGATTAGTGAAATGTTACCGACCGTATGCCCTCTTCAACTTCATCTTAAGGGACAACATTTTGTTTCATTCAGAAGCTGCGCAAATGTAGATACACTTGTAAATAATCCGCTGATTAAGCAGACGATGTTAACACAATTTTTCGAAATGAATAGAACAAATGCTGAGGCTATGGAACTCAATCTATTATACCAGGAATTCCCTGAACATTTTGTTTGGTCTTCAACAGAGAAGATGTGGACACCTCGGAAACAACGACATGCTATTGGTCATGTTGTAACATGTCATCCAACGGAAGGTGAGCGATATTATCTTAGAATGCTATTGATGAATATTAGAGGACCAAATCATATAAGGATTTACTAGCTGTTAATGGAGAACGTTGTAGCACCTTTACAGAATCAGTGGAAAAACGGGGATTGCTACAAAGTGACAATAGTTTGCTTGAATGCATGTCAGAAGCAGCAAGTTACCAGATGCCATACAGTTTGAGACGTTTATTTGCTACATTACTGATTTACTGTAATCCTACGAATCCAAGACAACTCTGAGAAGAATTTGAAGAGCATATGTCCTAGGATTATACGTTGGTATCCAATATTAACAAAAAAAATATTCGATACCAAGTTTTGAACCATATTAACGACATATTACACTCTATGGGTGGTGACATAAATGAATACCAACTCATTCCTGAAACAATAAGGTCTTCAGTAGCGGCAAAAGAGGCAAAGGAGGTGCACTTTGAAAGGACCATCACGGTTACTAATGAGGATATACTATTACACAAAAGGTTGAATAAAGATCATCTTAAAGCATACAATATAATTATGGAGAGAATTTTTTCAAACAAAGCTGGGGCATTCTTCATTGACGGACCTAGAGGAACAGGGAAAACCTTTTTATATCGTGCATTGTTGGCAACTGTACGATCTAAAGGGTATATAGCATTGGCAACTGCCACTTCTGGTGTATCTGCATCTATACTCCCTGGTGGACGAATTGCACATTCACGTTTTAAAATACCAATAAATACTGACGACAATGTGAGCTGCAACATCAGCAAACAAAGCTCAGTTGTCAAAATTAATTATATGGGATGAAGTATCTATGGCGAAAAAAAGAATGATTGAACGACTTGATTTAATTTTGAAGGACTTAATGGATTCAACGATACTATTTGGTGGAAAAGTTGTAGTTCTTGGAGGTGACTTCAGGCAGACATTGCCGGTAGTTCGGAACGAAAAAAAGGAAGATTTTATTAATGAAAGTTTACTGTATTCTCATCTTTGGGAAGAACTTGAAAGGCTGCGACTATTCGAAAATATGAGAGCGAAAGATGATCCTTCATTCTGTAATTATTTGTTGCGAATAGGAAACGGAGAAGAAAAAGTAAACTCAACAAACAAGATTGAAATTCCAACTTCTTTGATCATTCCTTATACAACCGAACAGGAATCTTTGGATAAATTATTCGCGATAACTTATCCAAATGTGCATATATTTTTTTCCTCCTCATGCTACACAAGTTCCCACGTTATCTTAACAACTAAGAATGATTTCGTCGACGATATCAACGACATGCTTGTTGCTCGTTTTCCAGAAGAATCAAAAACTTTTATTGGTATTGATGAAACTACTGAACATCATGACCAATCACAATTTGAGGATCTGTTGCACAGTTTAAATCCACCTGGTCTGCCTCCTTACTAATTGACATTGAAACGAAATTGTCCAATTATATTATTACGCAACTTAAATCCGTGTGATGGTTTATGCAATGGAACACGTTTGACTTGCTGTGATTTTAAATCGCATGTTAGTAGCGCCAATATTTCAGTTGGTCACTTTAAGAATACACATGTGTTTATCCCCAGAATACCACTATTATCATCCCAAGATGAAAAAATGCCTATTCCGTTTAAAAGGATACATTTTCTTGTAAGACTTTGCTTTGCAATGACTATAAATAAAGCGCAAGGTCAAACATTAGATTTTGTTGGAGTTTATCTGCGAGAACCTGTATTTCCGCACGGTCAACTTTATGTGGCTTTTTCCAGAGCAAAGAGTTCGAACTGCGTGAAAGTGCTAATCCGACCGACTATACCAGGTAGCGCGGACGATCACTACACAGATAACTTTCTTTACAATGAAATCATCAAAAAAGCTACTTTATAGGGATATTCCGCCAAGATCAGATAGTATCCTAACTAAAAAAATGAAATAGCAGACGAAGGATACTTATGATGTGCAATTCGGTCGATATTCACTGAAGCGTTGAAAACTACAGCTGATGCTCTTTGCGCACATGACTGCTCCAACAAAGATGAATTAATAGGAGGCTGTAGCATTCGCTTAGATGATCGTAGAGAGGTATTTTTGCATGAAAATGTAGTACCAGAAAAAAAATTCGTTAGATTCTACAAATTCATTAGGTATACAGGGGCAACCTAATTAGCCATGACTGATGTCTTTTTTTTCCCCAATGTAGAGTCTACATAATACATGGAGCACAGATTAACCATTGATAGGATTACTCCACAAACAAAAGAGTGGACATCAAAGGTACAACTCATTGAGAAACCGCGGCCAAGGCAAAGTAAAGATGGAAAGACGCGATTCCAGATTGCTGTTGTCCAAGATGAAAGAGTAATCTTCTAACTACCGTGTCACTTCTTTACTGCTTGAAATATAATTGCAACGCCAGTACTCTTTAATTGAAAGAAAACAAACAGATCCATCTACTTAGGTATCCACAAGTTTAATCGTTTCTGTCACACTCGCTATGTGAGGAACTAAATGTTTGCGGTGCTCTATGAAAGTAGATATTCCACATTTACCATTCATGTTTGTCTGATATTAGTTTTTTAGATAAAAGTTGTGGTATCAAACTCTGGAATTTCTTCTTTGGATTACATATTTGTGCCTTTAGAGTACTTTATTTGTCCAGAAGGATATATTTGCAATACACTTTGCAGTCGTCGCATTTGAAATTTGCTTAAACTTCTTACATCTTAAGAAATTAAAGGGCAAGAATTCAGAAGGCATGATCAATTTGATGGTAATTATTTCATTCATTAAATGTTTTTTCTCAAAGGCCACACTCTGATAAAACAGATGTCCATAAATTAGTCACGATGATAAGCTTGTCATTACGTACCTCTAATTATTTTTAGCTTCAAATTTATCTACTGAGATATCATTATGAGATCTGTTACGTTACAAAAAGTAATATAAATCTTCATAAATTCTAGGAAGATGCTACTTGTGTCTTAGGAAGCCTTTTGAAAATCCAAATTATGCATTACAATAAACAACATAACCTCACGTTAAACTCAGATTACATATACTATTTCAAACAATAGAGTAAATGAAAGCATTCTTAATTGCTAGACGTCTAATAGATCATGTATTTGTTGAACACACACCCACAATGCTAATAATACCAGAAACAGCTCATTGAAGCACCTCAGCTCACAACTTACTTGCATAATGCCAATTAAATATTAGGTTTCACACATACCTGGGCATAGACATAGGAATACGCTTCCTTTTAATTTAAAGTGCTCTCTTACGTGAAAGACTCATTCTCGATTGATTTTCATTCGTTAAGTTAGCACTTTAGACCTTTCCTTGAACTGAAGGAGTGTCATTTCGTACTTATCCTTCCACGATTGACAGATTATTAAAACCATATTGTTTTTCTTGTGTTAACTGATCAGATATGCTTTTACTTAGTAAACTGAAGGATTAAATGTAGACGTTTTCTCTAACGTAGTAAACTTAGACTTTTACAACTGACAGATTATTGAAATCATGGTATTGTCCTTGAAACGTTTTACGTAATTGGCTAATAATAATACGAGTAACTAATATGTCAATGTCCTTTGGTAATCATACATTGTATCCAAGTTATTATTCAACCTGCTAATTTGCAATCCTTTGAAGTTCATTTTATTTACTACCCTGTTGCAAACCTTTTGACTGCTACACCGCGCATTTTCCATGTAATACCAATTCTCGGTTAACTAATGTATACATCATTTTAATTTTTCTGTTTACCAAGAGATTTTTTAACTCTCTACCCGCATGGAATACGAACGACACTTCGTAACATGTCTATTTGATGTCGTCCATAGGGAACTATTAACTTGCTTTCTCTACTATTACTACTGAACTATTAGTGAGACTAAGAACAAAATATCGTCAATCGCATTCAAAGTTGTTTCGAGCAGTATCAAGATTTCACAAACCACTTTGGTTATACTATTATTCTTCCATCGTTTTGTCCAAATTTTCATGTTCTCAAGAACCTATGCATTTAGTTATCCCTTGCCCCCTAAATTCCAATTGACAAGTAGAAGAAAAAAGAAAACAAAGAGATGGTGGCGTCATAAGAAAGGTAGCTAAAAGTGGTGGCAGCTTCACCTTGGCCTCATAACAGAAGTATCTAAAACTTTTAGAATTTCTGGGGTGGTCACAAAAAGTATCCCGACTCAGTTTCTTCTCTCATTTAAACGTTTTAGATGTATATAATTACTTTACATATTTTGCGGTGCAATACAGTGGATTCTCTTTACTTTTGCTGCATGAGATGTACATCTGAGAAAGGGGAGTTCAACTACACATTCTTTAGTTCAAAGAGAGATGCTGACTTTATGTCAATGATATAAAATAATTTTAGTTACGCTTTATGACTGACTAATATTTTTCCTCCCACCCCCTTTTTTTTTGGTAGCGCTCTACAAATTCCAGTTCCTATATAGATTAGTTATCAATTGTATTTCATGAGTTTGCGGCTGCTCATACTGTACTTGTTTACTATTTTAATATTTCAGTATTTCGCATCTGTATGTCTCCATGTGTCTATATGGATACACTTCTGCAAAGGTAATTGAGTAACTTATCATTCTATTAAACTGCAGGAAGAGCAAGTAGCCGTTGTTCTGTACGGGGAAGACATAGAAAAGTATACAGACAAGCTCACCCCGTTTTCCACTTACTTGATATCTACTGCAAAAGTGAGGGTTTCTACCCTACGGAGTGCCTATCAGCCGTTTTGAATAGGTTATTGACAAATTCACTGTTGTCGAAGAGGTGAAAGATGACAACATACAAGACCCACCGCTCCCGCCGCCGACGAGGTTGAATACACCCTTTGCATATTTGCACGAGCAGTAACGAAATACGGAATTTGGTAACCATTATTTAACGCGTAGTATACTCTAACAATTAAAATTTATTTGTATCCTTACACTCTGACACTGTGTACATTGGTCTAAATTATAACTCATTTGCAACGTCCACTAAACAGATATAGTTGCCGTTGTGGTGAATTGTGGCTCCATAAAGTATGTTGGCGCTAACAGTAGCAAATGTCGTGAAGTCATCGTAATGGATACCAAGTAAGTCTGCTAGCACTCTATTTACTTTATTGTTGTCGCAACTACTTGTAAAAAAAATTGGCTACAATGTCGTCTTATTCACTTGATTACTTCGGTCAGATACCTTCAATTAAGAAGTTATAGTGTCATGAGATTATAATCTCAACCATCTCCTCATCAATGTCACCTTCTTCGACTAAAGCTAGCAAGAAGAAATTTCTCCAGACTCATTTATTGCATCTTCAGTTTGATCTATGACACTTGCCTTACCGTTTTATTCAACAAATTTAATCTTTCTGCGAATAGAACAAGGCATAAGATCTCCAAAAACAAATTGTATAAGCTTTCAGTCATAATACAGCTTTCTCTTCGTCCTGACATTGTGAGCTACAACATTTCAGCGATTACCATGGTTTAGTACAATTTTTTTTGTATATTGGCCTTGGTAAAATCCAATACTACTCACGAGAAAAGAAGTGCAACGAAGTCTGAAATGTGTTTAGCACTGTTTTTTTAATATGTCCATTACTGCCTTTTTTTAATGTATACATTGACTGCTATCATCTGACACATCTTAGTCAAGAAGACTTCATTAGTAAGCGGGAGATCAATATTTCTCATCTTCTACAGCCCGCGTCATTTTTGTAGCTAAAACATGATTCATATATAATATGAGTTACTTTGTGTATTAAGCCAGCTTTGAGTAGATGCTGAGTGCATTAAACCCGATATCTGGACATCATAACCACAGAATTGGTTAAATAGTTTGTACTACACTATGGAGAACACGGAAACCTTCGTTATTTTAGATAACCAACCCTGAACCTCCTTAAGATTCAGTAGATTTAAGACATCCCAAAATCCAAGAAATATAAGATGAATAATAAGAAAGCACATACAAGATGTATGCAAGTTTATAGAAAACAAATAAAGACAATAAGCCACTAATTACAAATGCAATTTTAACAAATAGACACACACTGAGACCCTTAAACAGAACATATCTTGATGAATTTGATCAACTAGGAAATAAACCGCTGATGATTTTTCAAAAGCCAATAACCTGATTTTCCAATGTGTCACATTGGCTGAAAGCATCCATCCAAATGCTCCCTTATTACTCTTCTACATCAATTACAACTTTCTATAGAAATATTTTTGGTTGACAAAAAAACCTTAACAACGAATGATAAAGTGCAATATATTAACATATGAAAAACTATTTAGATAAGTTCTTAAGTTCCTATACAGATAGAAAAGTTCCCTTCCGAATCCTTATACGCGGCAATCTATCAGGTAATTTATCTGTTCTCTTTTTCAAACCCTAAA